CCCCCCCCCCCTTATCCCTCCTTCCCTCTCTCCATCTCTTGGCCAGATGGGCACCGCAGGCCTTCTGCCCATCTTGGCCTGGCAGAGCTGTGGATTTGGCCAGATCTGTTTCAGTAGCAGTGTGCTGGAGCGCTGTTTGGCTTTGTGAGCCACACACACCATATCAGTGCTCAAATCGCCTCGTGTTCATTATGCGGCGAATCTGACACATGGCAACATCAGCGAAGACCGACATTTCTGAAGTTTTTACTTCATTAATCAGGAGTTCTGGAGATATCCCATCATGCCTCGTTTAGATGCACGGAGGCTTGATTAGAGCATTCAGCAATGTGAAAGTAACGTGAGAGTGCTGGAACGCATGCTGTCATGAATTAAGTACATTTGAGTGATTAGAAAAGAGCTGACAACATTTAATAACCGTACTGTTTGTATGTCTCTGTTATTCTATTTCAGACTGAGATTGCCAAACGGCTAAATGCGATTCTTGCTCAAATCATGCCTTTTTTGTCACAAGAGGTAAATATTCTCAATTTCTGTTCATAAAATAAGCCATCTTAGTGCCATTATTTCTGTTAGCCCATGCTAATTTTCAGTTTATTGATTTGTCTTTTCTCTTTCCTCCAGCACCAACAGCAGGTTGCACAGGCTGTTGAACGTGCTAAACAAGTGACAATGACAGAGTTGAATGCCATCATCGGGGTACGTGGACTTCCCAATCTGCCTCTTACCGTGTGTATAGCCCTCTTTCTCCTTCATTTGACCAGGGCCAGGGACAAACCTGCACACATGCAGCTCAGTGTACTAATGCATTCATGCCTGGCTCCTAAATGACAATTGGATTTATAGTATGTAGCAATAAAGATCAAATTAGCTGCTAAAGAAGGTAAACTAGCCTACTCCCACAGGCGGGGTTTGGGTCAAAGGTGATACATCAGCTGTAATCCTCCACTGTAAAACCTTCAATCCAACACCTATCACCTCAACAGCTCTTAAACAGTCCAAGGGCAAATCCGTGATTGCCAGAGACGTTTATACTTGTGTTCTAGGCGGAGATCAGGATTGTTGGTGTGTCTTAGTACCATCAGTCTCTTGCTGCAGATTTGCCCCTGCCCTTCATGGTCTGATTTTACTTTTTAATTTGTGATGTCATATGTTTACACCATGATGTTTGCTTTTTTATGCCATTGTTGTTTTTGTCTCGTCGGTGTGTGCCGCTCTGATCATTTGAGTTCATTTGTGCGTGTAGTAGGGGTGTGCGATATTGACAAAAAATAATATCTCAATATTTTCTGGGATTTTATCGATGACGATAATTAGACGATATTTTGCTGAGTGTGTTATTGTGCTGGTACCTTAAGGACTGCCGAAGACAGCTGACTCATAATGTTTTTAATATTCTTCATATTCTGTGTGGTGGTCAATTCATACTGATAGAAATTAATCTTTTCCAATAAGTTTAAACTGATTTTTGCATTTTATGGGCATTTTTACCTTTTATAAAGCCATTTTTTCTAGAAGTGTCCATTATTTTTTGAGTCAAATTCTTACATTTAATCAGGGAATTAGAATAATAAGACATTTGGGCTGTTACCAAGCAAATGAAATCAACACAGAAGCTGCATCTGAAGTGGCATTTAGATGTATTTACACACATGTATTTTGTTTAATGCAAGACATGAATGCATTTAACCTGCAATTACAAATGCATAAATAATGTTTTGATATATTAAACATAAAACGTTGAATACTGATATTTGAAATGATGACTGAATCATGCAGTGAAAGAAAACACACTAAATGCACACGCGCACTAGTCTAGACTTCACGTAATGCATGCATGCGCTCTGTAGGGATGTTTTGAATGGTTTTTGCAAAATACTCGATAACGTCAAATCGCACATCGTTAAAACAACAATTACGATATTATCGCAGACGATATATATCGCACACCCCTAGCGTGTAGTGCTTCTCTCTCTGTGTGTCTGTTTGACACAGGGTTTGAGAGGCATGTGGAGGGAAACATGTTTAGGCTTGTGTAGTTAAGCTCTTGTTTTGATCACACAAAAGGAGAAGTCTAATTCGTTCAGGGTTGTCTGTGATTAGCCATGTTAAATATTTTAAATAGCTTGTGTTAAGGAGCATTGAGAAGCTTCCTATTGACTTGGGCAACACAAACCATACTTGAATTTAACCAGTTTCTGTATTAGGCTAATTACACTGCCTAACCCTTGGTTATTGTCATTCTAAACCCGGCTTTTAACCCTGAGTAAAGGTATTTTTCACACTTGTATTTTAGAAGCGGGGTTAGCAACGCTTTTTACCTAGAGTTGGCATATTAAATTGTGGTGCCAATCTTGTGCAAAGTGAAAAGATGCGGTGTTAGAATGTTATGGCTAGATGCTTAGCAACAGACAATCAATCACATACCTCATATTACCATTATGGAAACACTGCACTGTGTATAAACATAATTTGATTTGGAAAATGTTAAATAGTGACAAACCGTGTCATGCTTATCTTTATAGTGTGTTAACTTATAGTACAGTCACCAACACACAAGATGAGGATGCCGTTAAACATGTTGCTTGCTGTGGTTATCCAGTCAATGACACTGACATCACATATAGGAACATTAGCCTGGGATGTAGGAATGTACTGTGTGAAACGTCAGCATATGAGTACTCAAGTGTTAATCTTGGGTAAAGTATGAACAGTATGAAACGTGAATCAAGATAATCCAGGAATCTGTTTACCCCGAGTTTAGAATGATCCAGGGTTAACTGTTTCAAGTGTGAAATATCAGGCAATGTATTTGATTCTAATCTAATAAGAGATAATTTTATGCCGTGCTTAATCTAAATTATGCATTTCTGTAGGTCAGTAAACTAAGAACAGAAGTACTCTTACATGTGCATTTAATCACAGTTATGTATACATGATCTTTATGTCCAAATATATATATATATTTGTTCACTGACGAGCTGCGCAAAAAATGGCGCGAATATGAACGTGGTTTTGCGCAGCTCGTCAGTGAACAACGGCTCTGTGTAGTTAATGCTGCTCAATGTGAAAGCACGCATGTGATGGAGATTTACCGCTGATTACAGAACCGGCTTTACTGATAAGATGCGCGTTAAATATCGCATGCGATTTATCGTGCAGCCCTAATAAATAAATAAATAAATAAATATATATATATATATATATATATATACACCTTGCTACGTGTACTGCGTCCTAATATATATTCATATATAGACTTTCAGAAAGAGGAGACAAATATGAAGAGATTAATTACAACAGTCAGAATAAGGGAAAGATTTACAGTTACTCGCTCAGCAGCTGTGTTAAAATCAGTGCTTACTTATATATATATATATATATATATATATATATATATATGTAGTGTGTATTATTTGAAAGATTAAATCTGCATTGTCACATCTGTCTTTCAGAGCAAGCACACAATGCTATGCTTGACAAAGACGAGCTACAATCACATTATCTAGGTCCAGTAGTAGTTCTAAAAACCAAACTAGTGTGCTTAAGCATTTCATAAAGGTGAATAATTACTTTCTTGGTGTCTTAAAAGTTTCCATTTGATTAAAAAAAACAATGATTGTTTTAGTAAAATCTACTAAGTAACTAAAATCAAACTTGTATTGGATGTAAAAGTACTTAGTGTGTCTCCTGTGGCGAGTGTGGCTATCCAACTTTGATTACCCTGGGCTGGGCTGGGCTGGTGGGTAGGAGGTCCTGAGCTGGGTCAGGACAGCCAGAGCCAGATATTGGAATTCAATTAAGGCAAATGAGCCAAGACTCTGACCCCTGTTTTCAAGGTAATTGCTTCCTTGAATCTGCCTGAATGCAACTGTCGACGGGGCTCCATCATTTAACAGCTAGCCATTCAGCAGAGCAGCTTGGCGAGAGGTGGGGGAGGCATGGGGGCAGGGCTTGTTGCTTCTGCTCACACATACACACACTTAGCAGTCACATGGTCATCATGATGGTGGATAAATAGATGTAGTCAGGCAGACACTTGACGCACTGTTGCAGGAATTAACACACACTCTCACACACATCCTCACAGGCTTGGAAAAAAAACAAGCTTTTATTTGTTGGCTGGTGAGATGGCAGGAGATCAATCTGTGTGCCCTGACGGAGAGGGGGAGGGGGGTCATTAAAGATTCACTGTTAATCAGGAGCCAGCAGTGTTTGGCACAGAGAGAGAGAAAAAGAGAGGAGAAGGAAGATTGTGAAAGGAGAGAGAGACATTGAGAGAGGGAGTGATATCCACAGGGAGGGGTAGAGGCAAATAAGTGGGTTAGCAAGAGAAGAGAGGCGCCCATGAAAGCTTTAGTCTGCGGAACCACTGACCTGTTAAAGTGACAGTGCTGTACATGTCTGTGGTTTTGCTAATAAGTTACAGCCAACAAGGTTTTTATGTTAATGATGCTGTAGCTGTGCCAAAAAAAAGCAACAGTATGAGTAACGCATACACTTGCTTGTGTGTGTATATATATATATGTATATATATTTGTGTATATATGTATGTGTGTATATATATGTATATATATTTGTGTATATATATATGTGTGTGTGTGTGTGTGTGTGTGTATATATATATATATATATATATATACACAAGCAAGTGTATGCGTTACTCATACTGTTGCTTTTTTGCCATATTTATATATGCATGCTAGGGCTGTGATTGATCAAATCAATCACAAAGTGATATTAATAATAGAAATATTACAGTAATCATTTCTTTAAAAAAACACTTTAGCAGTATTATTTTTTAGTAAATGGTATTCGTTTTTTTTTTTTTTTTTTTTTTTTTTTTTACTGGTTAAATATATTAGTTTTATTTATTTATTTTTTTAAGTAATTTAAATTATCAAAAACTACAATTTAATTATTTTTCTCCCCAAGTTGTGCAGCCCAAATATACATACAGCATTAGAATGGCAGAGGTAAATTCACACTTAAAGACCCGATTATAAGAAGTCCTAGCCCTTTTTATACCTGGAATTAAACTGTCTCAGGTGAATTGACGGCTATTAAAAATAATTTAAAAGCCCTTTTATCATTTATATGAAAGGACTAGGTATACACAAGTATAATCTGTCTTGGCTCACCACTTGAAAAGGATATTAAAGCATGTGTGATGGTTAAGCCAAACAAGACCTTAATTTCATGAAAAGTTGTCAAAATTGTCTTAATATAAAAGTCAGTGTGAATTTTATTATTATTATTTTTTTTAATGTAAAACTTTAGCGGCAGAGGTTTGCTGCTGGTTTGCTTTTTGTTTAGATACAGAACACCAGATTCATTTTGCATGCTGTTTCTGTTCATTTGCATTTCAGATTTCACACTAGCAGCATAAATGGCCTCAGTTTGACTCAAAACATGACTTATAACTTGCTAAACATTCGCCTTTATCATTATATTTGTCACCACTATGCTATTAGTGGAAGACTAGTAGGGATCATTGTGTCTTTCTAGGACAGTTAGGGTGTTCAGCACTGTGGTTAGGTTAGAAACACATTAAATACAAAAGCACCCTTCATTGCTGAAATAGTGTTGGTCAGCATTCATGTGCCTGGGTGGATTTGTGAAGTAGTGATGTGTTATTCATGAGTGAGCGGTGTGAGCGTGTAATGACATGCTCGTCTCTTTTCTCTCATCAGCAGCAGCCTCATGCTGTCTACCCTGCTCTGATGGTCAGTGCTAAATACAGCCTCTGTGTGTTATATTTGGGTTTTTGAAGTGAATTTGAGACCCCAACATTCTTTAGACCCTAACGCTTCTCAGTGTTATCTTGTGTGTGTGTGTGTGTGTGTGTGTGTGTGTGTGTGTGTGTGTGTGTGTTCTTTCTCCCGTGTTGTGTGTTCGTTCTGCCTTGTGCTTTCTTTAATCGTTGGTGTCAAAGCAATGGCTGTTTACTGGAAGAACAGTAGTGCTTGTTCACACAGGTTTATAAATGTTTATTATATATTTGAGCCCTCTTTACATTGAGATGACCACTGCAGGACTGCTGATACATCAATAAAATGTTTGATACATATTTTGATTGCTTAAAACAACTGAATGCATTAAAACTAAATGTGCTACATTTTGCATGAGAAAATGTTTGTATGTAGAGCTACATTTCTGCTTACAAAGTCTTATTATTTGAAATGATCTTTTCACAGCTCATACTTTCACTACTGTTCTTTTTGTTTGTTTGTTTGTCTCTTGTGCTCACCAAGACTGCATTTATTTGATCAAAAATGCAGTAAAAATATATAAAAAATAAATATATTTACAATAATTTAATACATTTTAAAATGTAGTTAATGGCAAAGCTGGATTTGTCTTTATTGTGACATGGTCCTTCTGTAATCATTTTAATATGCTGATTTCTTATCGCATTTAAAATTTACTAGAAATTTCTTGAATTTATTGGAAATATAATTTTTTGTAACATTTATAAATGTCTTTACTGTCACTTTTGATCAGTTTAAAGGGGTCATATGATGTTGCTAAAAAGAACATTATTTTGTGTATTTATCAAGGTTGTATTTCCTCAGCAACGAGCATGGATCAGCTCTAGGCATGACGAAGCAGATATGGTCTTCTTTTGGAAGGCCAAACAAAGTAGTTTCGCTTTCACAACGAAACACACAGCGCCTTCACGACATGGCGGCGGCAACAACAATACTACAGCAAGAATAAAAGTTACGCCTTCTTTCTTTGCGTGAACATTTGGGTGGCGTTATGCAAATCTTCCCACATAGTGACGTAGATATGTGGGGACGTGTTAGAACGAGCCGTTTTAGGTAGGTGTGGCTGACTCTTAACTTTTATAAAGAATATCTCTTTGGATTTGAGACTTTAGTCTTTGCAACTTTACAGATCTTCTTTATGCACCAAGAGCTTGTAACACTCCAAAGATAAAGGAAAAATTGAAATCGCATCATATGACCCCTTTAAAGAAAAATCATATTGACCCCAAACTTTTGAATGGTAGTGTATGTCAGCTTTTTTATCTGAAATTGAATATTTTTTTTTGTTAAGCACTATATGGACTGGATTAGTTTTTGAGATGGTTATTAGTTAAGTACTGATGTAGACTGATTTGGGGTTTTGCAGTTATTACTAATATGGGCATGTCTATCTACTGTAGATTTGGGAAGGTCTTGTGCATTGGATTTATGTGTCACAGGACCGTTAATCCAGCAAAATTGGTCTGGTGATAAATTCTATAATTATGGTGTACAATTGTGGGAATTGATGTATAAAATTATACCAGTCTGTGATTGGACTTTTCACATGAAAAAAGATTCCGATATTTTACCCAATATGTCTAAATCCAATATTAAAAAAGACAAAACTTTTTATGTATTTATTTTTTAACAGACATTAAGAAATGACCAACATAATGTTTAATCCAGATGGAATTAAGATAGATCACACAGTGCAACACACATTTACCTGATCTTATCAGTTGCATTATTACATCTTCCTCTCTCAGCTGTAAACAGCTACTGCTTTGACACCACGTGTTACAGGCTATTAAATTAACACAAACATAGAATGGCTTGTCTGATTGGCTGTTGTTAAGGAGGCATGGAGGAGTGGCATAGCCTAGGAGATGGTAACCATGGACCTGCGTAAACTCTGAAATATTATGGGCTGTGAGGTGACTGTAGTGGATGCCATTCATTTGATGTTTACCTACATTTTGCCTAACTCACTTGACTGTGTGTGTGTGGTGTGTGTGTGTGTGTGTGTGTGTGTGTGTGTGTGTGTGTGTGTGTGTGTGTGTAATATAGTGAATGAATGTGTGTACATATTGACTCAGAAAACAAATACCAGAATGCACCCTTATTTTAATATTGTTTCTTGATTGTATAGGATAGGAGTGTGTAAAAAAATTCAGTTTGAAGCTCATGTAACTAGTCAAGGTTTATGTATTTCTGGTTTGTTGCAAAAAGATGCATGTTAAGTAGTGTAGTTGTTAAGAGCTGTGCATGTTTAGAAATCTATAGTATGTGTCTGAGTGAGCTGTTCCTGCTGAGCTCAAGGAGGACATGTCCTTGTGAAGGGTGTCCTGCTTTGATCCAGCCACTAATGGAGGTGTTAGGGTGCCAGTGTTCCTCTCCGTGCATCCTGTGAGAGTGGGGCTTAACCAGTCACCTTTATTCAGTGTGTGCTGTCCATATGCCTTTTCACTCCGACCCACTTGATGTACATGTGTGTGTTGACAGCAGCAGCAGCTCCAGGCTCAACACCTTTCTCATGCTGCCCATGGACCCCCGGTCCAGCTGCCCCCTCACCCCTCGGCACTGCAGCCACCAGGCATCCCTCCAGTCACGGGCTCAGGTTCAGGTCTGCTGGCGCTGGGAGCTCTGGGCAGCCAGGCGCACCTGCCAGTCAAAGACGAGAAGAACCATCATGACCTGGAGCACAGAGGTAACGCACGTATGCACTGAAGAGAAAACAAAAACAAATGTCCTGAAGCGGTACGCTCATGCTTTGGTAAGAAAATAAATGTAAATGCTGACTTGGTGTTTTTCTTTATCGGTTTCTTTTAACGACAACTTCATTCTCCCATGGATAAAGAGCGGGAATCTAGCACGGTGAGTTCTGTCATTTTCTGATTTTCCATGTCTGTCTCTACTTGCTTTTTTTATGCAGAACTTCAGTTTTAGTCTGTTCCTCCTTACACATAACTACTGTGTGGATTCATTTAGAAGTTTTTTAGCAAGTGTTCGCATCGTTCTTTGTGTACTTTAAGTACCGATACCACAATGGTGTTAGATGCTGCACTGCCATCTGTCAAAGTGAATCAGCATGATTGTCTCTTAAATTTTATGTAAATTACACTGATCTTCATGAGTTTTAGAGAGAAGACTCTACACACCAGTTCCCTTAACTGTCCAACAACAACAAAAAAACCTGCCTTGAGCATCACATTTCTCCATTTCACATCTCTCACAAATGACCCCTGTAGTGTTCCACAAAATTCAAACTGTTTGAAGTGACATGTAAGTAAATTGTCAGAATTTAAATTTTTTGTTGAACTATTCCTTTAAGTTCTGGCGTTTGATGAAGAGGGGAGTCGGCGGCACGTTAACAGCGCGAGGAGAGCAGAGCAGGCAGTATTAGGGCACACTAAGCCTTTAAAAAAAAAATAATAATAAAAAAGAGAGGGTAGCCTGCTGTATAATCCTACTTTTAATCCAGGTAAAAAATGCGCAAAAGCACAGGCCAGGGATTAGCAGCGCTATAATTTCATCACAATTAAAAAAGACTTTGACTCTCTATCTTAAAGGATTTGTCCTCACCCACTCTTCATGTCTGCGGCTCCTGGCTCAGATAAACCTGACTCATTCAACCATATCTCATTGCCTCCTCCTTTGTTTCTCCTTGTGCCTCTTTTCTTCAGTTTTGTTAACTGCTCTTTCGCTCGTTCCTTTGGCTCTTTGTCTCCACAGCTCTCGTTCTGTCCCTCTGTGCATATCTCTTGTCATGTTTATTTGCAGTTTTCTTATAACCACTTAAAGTCTCCCTATCTCCTGCTGGATTGCCCCATTTCGCCTCTTAAACTGGATATGCAGAAAGGTTTGACTTGGCAATAGAGTTTTGTGTGTGTGTGTTGAATGGGCAGCAGTGTGAATGGGTGCAGTCATGCCTGCAGAAATCAGACTCTGCTGCTGATTAGCGCTTAGTGCAGCAGCGGCCATCCTGCTCTCTGCCCGCCAGGACTTCCTGTTGTCACGGGTCATCTGATAGCACCGCTCTGACTTTGCTTATTGAGTCACGTTAAGCCTGTCTTAAAAGGTCAGCCTATTAAACCCGCAGCTGAGACGCACACATACACGCTCCCCTGTCAGGCTGAGAGAGCAGTCTAGGTCTGTTTATTACTTTTGGATTAGCAGAGGAAAGGGGGTAGGGAGAGAAATCGGCTGCTTAGTGCTGACAAAAGCAACACTGAGATTGTTGTAGAGTGTTTGTGAGTGGGGTTTAAGCTGCCGGGATTCCTTTGTGTCGCCTTCAGGAGAGCATGGAGTTCCTTCTGCCTGGAGATCACTTCCTTTGGCCCAGCCACATCCTCCTTTTCATCTGTCTCCCCTTCTCTCTCTGCACGAATAGAGGTTTGTCAGTCAAACTGAGAGTGTGGGCTTGGCACTGAGATCATGCACTGGCAGTGCCACACTCTCTGGCCCAGAGATGGTGCCCGCCTGCCCAGCCGTGCTCACAGAGGAAGCGCCACTCAGCCACTGCCACTCTCGGTGCATTCTGGGCTATGTAGCTTCAGCTGCTCTTCCTTCCTCCCTTCCTGTCTTATCTGCTGTGACTTTCTCCTATGGTACCCACACAAAGTTTAAGAATACTTTCGTAATTTTTGAAGCCACCCAATACAATAAAGTAGAGATGTGTAATTTGGAAAAAGATTATTGCTATTTTTTAAATTGATTATTATTATTATTATTATATAAGAATTAGTATTATTGCAATGGAAGCTCTAGGTTTGCTGTGCTTGTTTTTTGAAGGGCTTCACAATTTGTTTGATTTTTTTTTGTTTGATTTTTGCAATTTACAATATTAAACAAAATAGCAAATATTACTATTGTAATTCACTGTAAAATAACAAATTATTTTATTTTACAGAAGAACTGTAAAATTACAATACTAATAATTGTGGCTGTCTTCATTTAATGTTTCAAGTATTAAACAATCAAGCTTTTTAGACAGAAAACCACAGGATTTCCTTCAATCTAATCTTTTTTTTTTTTTTGACCACTTTTCATCAATTTTAGGGAAGATGGTTGGTTGGTATGTGTTGTGTTTTTAAATACACATAAGTGACCCAAACTCATAGCTCATGCAGAGATAAAGTTGGTGAGGTTAAGAATTTACTGTATACAAGCCACTTTGCTGCTTGCTTGTATAAGGAACGCTTCCCTCCAAAACACACTGCGCATATATTTATTTTTAATTCAATCACAGCATTTGCAATTTGATAATCGCTCTAAGCCATATTGCTATTTCACTTTTATTTCGATTAATCGTGTGGCTCTACAAGTGGTCTTGGCAGAGGGCCGGGGAGTAAAAGTGGCATACATGGACTCACTCCCTCTTTTAAGGCCCAGTCGTTGTGGTGAAAGAGTGGCTGTTTGCCGTGTTTTAGTCGGGGCGGGCATGTGCAGGAGGGTAGGAACGCAAGCTGTCGTCTGGCTGGTTAACTCTCGGGGTGAGGGGCCGTTTATTCTGGTCTGGTGTTTGCATTTCACTGTGTTATTCTCTCTCTCCCCCCTCCGTTTTCGCTTGACCCTGCTGTCCAGTTTGGCGCATTGGCGTTGTGTAATGCTCGGTGCAGGATGCCCAGGGCTGCGAGGTTAGCCCAGAATGTTTGAAGTGTGGTGTGGTCAGGCTGGTTTAGAGGCCTCACTCTTCAGGGATAGTTTGCTCAGCTGCTTTGCTTCATGGGGCCTGGGCTTGCTTACTTGGCAGGCCCCACGCTCTCTCCTTTTCTCCATGCCAGGGAGTACGGGGTGATCTAACAGGGCCTGGGGCTTAACCCCCTCGCTTCTCTGTATTTACCTTGAACGAGCGAGGAATTTACACACATGGCTCGCTCAAAGCCACCGGTGGCCCCATGTTGCCTCTGATATTTGTATTTGTGCTACTGAGAGTCTGGGCCATCTTGAGCATAGCTGACTGTCTGCAGCTAATGAGCTGAACTTAAAGTGTCTGTTGTGATATTTTTGAGGGAGATGTTCTTACATGGATTGTTTGTTTAAAATGTAATAAACCCGCTAATGTAAATATATGAATGCTACATGACATTTGAGGGGTTCTGTCAGTTTGGGTTTCTCAAGATGACACCTTTTGAGGGAGGATCCTGAATTATTGATTTTACGCAATGCAAAATGTTTATATTCATTATGCTTTATATTATTATGTAAATGTAGCATTGTTTCAGGGGAACATTAAGTGTTTGTATTGTCACCAAGTGCAAAGTGGTAAGCTTTTATTTGTGATTTGTGCTGATCAACTTTTTATTTCTTTGTCTCAGCAGAATAATTCAGTATCACCGTCAGACAGCCTGAGGGCCAGTGAGAAACACAGAGGCTCGTCTGAATACAGTCTGGACCCGAAGAAACGCAGAGTGGAGGAGAAGGACAACATGAGCCGATATGTAAGATTTTGTATAATACAGCCCCACATACAGAAATCAGTTGTTTTAAATGGGCATTCATATCGTGACTTGCAACAGATTTAATTTAGCTGTTCAATTAGTGTTTTAAAGAATAAATTTAAGTGAGCATCAGATGAGGCCAAATTAAATTTTGCACTATTAAATATCTAATATTTACAGATCTCTGAGTGATACGATACTGATATATTGTGCATCCCTAATTAAGTCATGTTCTTTTTGCTGTTAAAAACATGCTACTGTTCAAAAGTTTTAGCAAGGTTAATCATAAGTGTCAGTAAATACTTTTACATTGTTACACAATATTTCTATTTAGTTCTTTGTGCTTTCTATCTGTCCAATAGTTCTAAAAAATTAGAAAGCTGTTATTTTTAATTATAATAGTATTTGTCAATATTACTGTCTTTACTGTATATTTGATCAAATAAATGCAGTCTTTGTGAGCATAAGAGACTTAAAAAAACCCCCTGCTAAACTCTTTACTGACCCCAAACTTTTGAATGGTAGTGTATATTATGGTGAGTGTCTATATAAACTGTCTATACTATGCTAGAAATTTATGATTGTTCATACTGCCAACTTTTACAGGCAGCTGTTTTTTAGCCAAATGTTTTTTCTCCTATCCATGTTATTTTTAGAAATCCATTATTTTCTTGGGTCACTCCTGTAACTGTTGTTTATACACTACAGGACAGTGATGGTGACAAAAGTGATGATCTGGTCGTGGATGTTTCCAACGAGGTAAAGACTAGTATATCTGCTTCCCATTTTTGGTTGGAGAACTGCTACTCTTTCGTATGTGACGTTTCTGTTTCCCACTGTAGGATCCAGCCACTCCAAGGGTCAGCCCGTCTCACTCTCCTCCTGAGAATGGACTTGATAAGGCCAGAGCGCTGAAGAAAGATGCCCCCAACAGCCCGGCTTCTGTGGCCTCCTCTGGGAGCACCCCCTCCTCAAAAGTGAAGGACCACCCACATGTAAGTGTTAAGGAATAGAGGATGGGCATTTATGGTGTCAAGCCTCTGCACATTTGCAAAACCCTCTTCCTCTCCTCAGCTTTATAGCTGCAGCGTAAATGTCAGATTGAAGCATAACATGAATACATCAGCTACTGTCAGACAAACAGCGGCTTAGCCACTAGCCTTGGCTAATATCTCAATGCGCTTAGCTAGCCTCAGGGGAAGAGGAGAGAAGAGAGAGTGATTAAAGATGAGTGAGAGGATGAGGTCTCGGGGAAGGGTTCGGTCTGAAATTTAGCTTTATCCTCCTCCGCTATAATGAGCTGTCAGTGTTTGACTGGATTAGTGCGAGAGAGCTCTCTGGATTTGAGCATTTGTGGTATGTAGCTTTAGCTCAGTTAATTCCATCTCTGTTCCTTCATCTTTCAGAACGACAAGTCCTCCACCCCAGGTTTAAAGTCCAACACCCCCACCCCACGCAACGACGCTCCCACCCCAGGAACCAGCAACACCCCTGGGCTCAGGCCCATACCTGGAAAACCACTAGGCATGGAAGCGCTGAGTAAGTAGTAAATGTGCACTTTTAAACCTATCCATTCATTAGGCATTCACATTCATTGAAACTTTTTGACCATATTTTTGAGCATTGGACAACTCTTTGAAACCAGCCACCTGAGTTGGTGATGCTATGTGGCTAATCTGGAGCCAAAGAAAAAATGATGGGGCTATGCTAACCAGTCAAACCTGTAAGTGTATGCGTGCATTCATAGCTTTTCAACTTTGGCTTTTCTTCTTCATATATTCCCAGCAGCACCTGCTCTACGTACACCATTGTCGATTGCGTCGCCATATGGGGCTCCGTTCGCCATGATGGGTCACCACCCAGAGATGAACGGCTCATTGACCAGTCCGGGTGTTTACCCTGGCCTTCACATCTCCCCTCAGATGAGTGCCGCTGTTGCCTATGGACGCTCACCTATGGTTAGACTCCCTGTCTTTATATTTTTTGATTACATATACATTCCTAAAGGTTTGCAGAAGCTTGTTGTCCTGTTCCAGTTTTCTTTCTGTCTCTGTCTTACACACACATACACACACACACACATACACTTCCTGTTCCTCTAATCATCTAGAATGGCCTTTAGCAGCTCTCTTCCATAACTCGGAGGCTAACTTTACATGCATACCCTTTTAGGATAGCGTTCCGGTTAAATATTACCTTTTGCGTTTGTACTGCGTTTGTTTTGCATCTCTGTGTTTGTGCTAATGGCATGGGAAGTAACACTTCTCTGGGGGGTCTTTAATAATGGCTTGAGGGGAGAGATAAAGCGCGAACAAGAGCTAAACTAGAATATTAACAATATATTACAATATGACAATTAAGCTGATACAGGGAAAAATCTGACTTTAAAATTAGTTTCGGTTTGTTTTGCAGCTTACTCTTTAATGCTAAGATACTAAGATGTCTGTGTGTTGTAGGCGGGCTTTGATCCTCATCCCCACATGCGTGCCCCTGGTCTGCCAACAAGTCTGGCCTCTATACCTGGAGGGAAACCGTAAGTGCTGTTATTGAGCTCAAACTATGCATAACATGCTACTGTTAGAATACTTTTTTTTTTTTTTTGAAAGAAATTAATACATTAATTCGGCAAGGATGCATTCAATTGAATTTGTTTTCAACAACGTTTTCAACATTGTTAATAAGTAGTGTTTCTCGGGCACCAAATCAACACAGAATAATATCTGAAGGATCATGTGACATGTTTGAGAATTTCTTATTGATTATTGATCATTCCAGTTTTTTTTTTATCTCATTCTTTTATGTTCTAATAAATAGGGCCTACTCCTTCCACGTTAGCGCAGATGGGCAGATGCAACCAGTACCTTTTCCTCCAGATGCTCTGATTGGACCAGGCATTCCCCGTCATGCCCGTCAGATCAACACACTCAGCCACGGTGAGGTGGTGTGTGCCGTAACCATCAGCAACCCCACGCGGCACGTCTATACTGGCGGCAAAGGCTGCGTGAAGATCTGGGATATCAGTCAGCCCGGCAGCAAGAGCCCCGTCTCACAACTTGACTGTCTGGTAAAAATTCATGTTGTTTAATCAGTCCACACAAATTACCGGAATTATTTTTTCTGAAGTATAATTTCCACTCTTTTTAATATTTTTAATCTTTATCTTCCCTTTAATCCCCCTGCTAAATAAAGAACCAATCTTCAGGCTATGTGTAGTTATTCTAGGGGAAAATACCATGATGGCTCTCCATTATCCCCCTCAGTCTGTGTAACTTGCTTTTTTGTGTGTGCATGTCCCTGTGCTTGCTCCATAGTGCAGAAAGCGGTGTATTTGATGAGCTGTTCGGCCATTATAAAGTGATTTAATTTGTCTGAAAGCCTGGACTTATTGATCTCCCTCAGGAGCAGGTCTAGAATTCTCCTGCTAATTTGAAAATGCGCTTCATCCTGGTGCTGCAACTAAAAACCCTTAAAAGCTTTTCCCTACCCACTTACCATTCTGTTCCCTCTTATCGGCCGCCTCTCCTCCTCGATTAACCTTCATAAACACAGGTTAGACAGGATTTAGAGAGCCAGAGTAAATAACAGGGAGCTGAACAGCTGCTTTTCAGCCCTACCATTTAGATTGGTTCACCACTTCAGCCTGATTATTGAGGGGCTGGAGAGGGACATTTGTACATATTCTTGTAAAATTGTTTTATACCACCCCCCCCCCTAAAAAATCCTCTTTTAATGCATTATTCCAAAAATGTCTGTCTCTCAACATATTCCCCGCTTCTCTCTCTCTCTCTCTTCAGAACAGGGATAACTATATCCGTTCCTGTAAGCTGCTTCCGGATGGCCGCACTTTGATCGTTGGAGGGGAAGCCAGCACTCTGACCATATGGGATTTGGCCTCTCAGACTCCCCGTATCAAAGCCGAGCTCACCTCTTCTGCCCCGGCCTGCTATGCGCTGGCGATCAGCCCTGATGCCAAGGTCTGCTTCTCCTGCTGCAGTGATGGAAATATTGCTGTCTGGGACCTTCATAACCAAACCCTTGTCAGGTAGGAAGCATGCCAGGTGATGCTGCATGAAATAGTGTTTCTTTGAGGATAGAGATGTATACGCTGTTCTGATGCATTAAACGACGATGTGTATATGTCTTGTCTATGTATGTAGGCAGTTCCAGGGCCACACGGATGGTGCAAGTTGTATAGACATTTCCCATGATGGCACCAAACTGTGGACAGGTGGACTGGACAACACAGTACGGTCCTGGGACCTGAGAGAGGGACGACAACTCCAGCAGCATGACTTTACTTCACAGGTAAATGTTACACACCCAAAAATCATATATAAACATTGTGTAATATATAATATAATTGTGAAATATTATTGCAATTTAAAATAAGCGTTTTTAATTGATTTATTTTAAAATGTAATTTACTCCTGTGATGACAGCTGAATTTTCAGCAGCCATTACTCCAGTCTTCAGTGTCACATGATCCTTCAAAAATCATTTTAATATGCTGATTTGGTTCTTGTGAAACATATTAATGTAGAAAACAGTCATGCTGAACCTTGCTGAATAAAAGTGTTAATTTTGAGGAAAAAAAAATTAACACTAGTGTATTTATGAATATGTATGTGTATACATTGCATTGTAACACTACATTTAAACATTTTCTTGACTTATTTTAATGACTTCTGTACTATTCCATTTCTGATTATGTATTAAAAGTCCAAATCAGTGTTTATGCATAAATTGTCTATGCACTTTTAGATCAGTTTGTGATGGGCTTTGTGCTTTTGTGCTCTCATCTAGATCTTCTCTCTGGGCTACTGTCCGACGGGCGAGTGGCTGGCTGTGGGAATGGAGAGCAGTAATGTGGAGGTGCTTCATCACACCAAGCCTGACAAGTACCAGCTGCACCTGCATGAGAGCTGTGTCCTCTCCCTCAAATTTGCCTACTGTGGTAAGACACTGTTACTTCACCTTATATGTAGTGCATCTTGCACCTGAGAATAAATGGGGGGAAAAACAATAGACTTGCTATGAAATATGTCTGAGCCATGACATGGGAAAATAATTGCACAGAGTACTTCTGCCTTACTTTAGTATTCAGTGGTGTTTTTCCATTTTAGCTGGGCCAGGTTGCACTTTGTACCACCCCCAGCGCTCTCTCTCTTTTTCTCTTAATGGCCCACTCTACTTCCAAATAAGTCGAGCTGCAGTGAATCAAGTCATTTAGATAAACCTTGACTCTGTACCCATTAGTGCATGTGTGTTTGTTCCATTTCCTAAAGGTAAATGGTTTGTGAGCACTGGGAAGGACAATCTCTTGAATGCCTGGAGGACTCCCTATGGTGCCAGCATTTTCCAGGTATGTCAATCAATACCTCATTGCCTCCCTTCGCTACTGACCACAATACATTGGGAATGAATGTGTGTTTGTGTGATTTCTAGTGTGAGATTGATAGATTCTGTCTTCAGGTTTTCTTTGGGACTTTTATCCCTGTTGTAATAGAGTCTTTGAGTGATGGCTTTTATTTTTGCTGTGGAGATGCAGCTGTACATAAAATGGGCCATTAGTCTGCTAAAAACAGCATCTTTGTTGGCAAACATTTTGCAAGTTTAATGGTTTAGCACAAGTTTGAGGAAACAAGGATGCCATTGTAGTCTGTCAACTGCTGCTCCACTACGGGTTTGTCATATTGCTTGCTCTCTGTTTACTAGTGAGAGTATGATCAGCAATATTGTGCTTTTTTTTTTTTTCTGGTAAAAATTCATGTTGTTTAATCAGTCCACACAAATTACCGGAATTATTTTTTCTGAAGTATAATTTCCACTCTTTTTAATATTTTTAATCTTTATCTTCCCTTTAATCCCCCTGCTAAATAAAGAACCAATCTTCAGGCTATGTGTAGTTATTCTAGGGGAAAATACCATGATGGCTCTCCATTATCCCCCTCAGTCTGTGTAACTTGCTTTTTTGTGTGTGCATGTCCCTGTGCTTGCTCCATAGTGCAGAAAGCGGTGTATTTGATGAGCTGTTCGGCCATTATAAAGTGATTTAATTTGTCTGAAAGCCTGGACTTATTGATCTCCCTCAGGAGCAGGTCTAGAATTCTCCTGCTAATTTGAAAATGCGCTTCATCCTGGTGCTGCAACTAAAAACCCTTAAAAGCTTTTCCCTACCCACTTACCATTCTGTTCCCTCTTATCGGCCGCCTCTCCTCCTCGATTAACCTTCATAAACACAGGTTAGACAGGATTTAGAGAGCCAGAGTAAATAACAGGGAGCTGAACAGCTGCTTTTCAGCCCTACCATTTAGATTGGTTCACCACTTCAGCCTGATTATTGAGGGGCTGGAGAGGGACATTTGTACATATTCTTGTAAAATTGTTTTATACCACCCCCCCCCCTAAAAAATCCTCTTTTAATGCATTATTCCAAAAATGTCTGTCTCTCAACATATTCCCCGCTTCTCTCTCTCTCTCTCTTCAGAACAGGGATAACTATATCCGTTCCTGTAAGCTGCTTCCGGATGGCCGCACTTTGATCGTTGGAGGGGAAGCCAGCACTCTGACCATATGGGATTTGGCCTCTCAGACTCCCCGTATCAAAGCCGAGCTCACCTCTTCTGCCCCGGCCTGCTATGCGCTGGCGATCAGCCCTGATGCCAAGGTCTGCTTCTCCTGCTGCAGTGATGGAAATATTGCTGTCTGGGACCTTCATAACCAAACCCTTGTCAGGTAGGAAGCATGCCAGGTGATGCTGCATGAAATAGTGTTTCTTTGAGGATAGAGATGTATACGCTGTTCTGATGCATTAAACGACGATGTGTATATGTCTTGTCTATGTATGTAGGCAGTTCCAGGGCCACACGGATGGTGCAAGTTGTATAGACATTTCCCATGATGGCACCAAACTGTGGACAGGTGGACTGGACAACACAGTACGGTCCTGGGACCTGAGAGAGGGACGACAACTCCAGCAGCATGACTTTACTTCACAGGTAAATGTTACACACCCAAAAATCATATATAAACATTGTGTAATATATAATATAATTGTGAAATATTATTGCAATTTAAAATAAGCGTTTTTAATTGATTTATTTTAAAATGTAATTTACTCCTGTGATGACAGCTGAATTTTCAGCAGCCATTACTCCAGTCTTCAGTGTCACATGATCCTTCAAAAATCATTTTAATATGCTGATTTGGTTCTTGTGAAACATATTAATGTAGAAAACAGTCATGCTGAACCTTGCTGAATAAAAGTGTTAATTTTGAGGAAAAAAAAATTAACACTAGTGTATTTATGAATATGTATGTGTATACATTGCATTGTAACACTACATTTAAACATTTTCTTGACTTATTTTAATGACTTCTGTACTATTCCATTTCTGATTATGTATTAAAAGTCCAAATCAGTGTTTATGCATAAATTGTCTATAGACTTGCTGTAAAATATATCTGAGACATGACATGGGAAAACAATTGCACAGAGTACTTTAGCCTTACTTTAGTATTCAGTGGTGTTTTTCCATTTTTGGCGGGGCCAAGTTGCACTTTGTACCACCCCCAGTACTCTCTCTCTTTTTCTCTTAATGGCCCACTCTACTTCCAAATAAGTCGAGCTGCAGTGAATCAAGTCATTTAGATAAACCTTGACTCTGTACCCATTAGTGCATGTGTGTTTGTTCCATTTCCTAAAGGTAAATGGTTTGTGAGCACTGGGAAGGACAATCTCTTGAATGCCTGGAGGACTCCCTATGGTGCCAGCATTTTCCAGGTATGTCAATCAATACCTCATTCCCTCCCCTTGCTACAGACCATAATACAGTGGGGGAATGTATGTGTGTTTGTGTGATTTGTAGTGCGAGATTCATAGATTCTGTTTTCAGGCTTTCTTTTGGGACTTTTATTCCTGTTGTAATAGGGTGTTTGAGTGATGGCTTTTATTTTTGCTATGGAGATGCAGCTGTACAGAAAATAGGCCATTAGAATGCATAAAACGACATCTTTGTTGACAAACATTTTGCAAGTTTAATGGCTTAGCGCTTAGTTTGAGGAAGTGAGGCTGCCATTTTAGAGCCATTCTGAATGGCCTTGTCAAAATAATGGATCATAATCATTAAAAAACAGACAGTCTAGTGTCATTGGAGCAGCTACAGTTTTCAATCAGTATTTATTGTTAAGGTTTAAAACTATTACATTGTTTTAAATAGGTAAATTTAAATAAATAATTGTTTCAAATGTATATCTGATGAAAAACTAAAATAACAGAAATAAAATTACTAAAACTGAAATAAAAAATAAAGCTGAATGGAAATGTAAAAATTAATAAATAAACCATTTTACTCAGTCAGCTGCTACTCCACTCCGGGTTTGTCATATTGTTTGCACTCTGTTGACTGGTGAGCGTTTGCTCAGCAATATTTGTGCTTGGTTTTTTGGGGAGAAAAGTTTCCTGTTTTATTAGAACATAAGCATCATTTCAGTTCTATATAAAATGTAGTCTACTATTGTGACATGCAGGCAATATTCCCTGAATTAAATAATTTAAAACACCTTTTACCTTCCCACTCTTACCATCTCTGTCACTTTTCACTAAAATGTGTATTTTTGATCAACTTTATTATTATTATTATTGTTATTTTTAAATTTCCTCTTTCTTTCAAGTTGACTGCTAACATGATAATCTGTTATGATAATCTATTAATACTGTTTAACACAAGGGGAATTCTTGCTGACATTCAATTAGACGATGGCCATTAAATTGTTTGAGCGACTTAAGTCTCCCTGCTTCAGGCAAAAATCACACAGCTCTGCACTGCTCACATACATTGCCAATTGTCTACACACCTACTTGCCTCGCAGAGTGGCTTAAATGCTTCAATTAATATTTAGAAGGGAGTGTTGTTGACATGCTTCTCTGTGGTTTATGATCTCACTGAGTCTTTGTTTGATCATGTCAGCTAATCGTTTTCCTGCTTTCCTCCCTCCACAGTCCAAGGAGTCGTCCTCTGTCCTGAGCTGTGACATCTCAGCTGATGATAAGTACATTGTGACAGGATCTGGAGACAAGAAGGCCACTGTGTATGAAGTGATCTACTAAATTCACTGCTTCGCCAGATGTAAAGACCTATGTATGGAGTTTCTCATTGGGCCTGATATTTAATGGATTCAAGGGATCACTCCTCCAGTTTTTCCTCCTTTTATAGTAGGAACCCAGGTTAGGAACTGGTCGGTCCATTGGGATCGGTTCCCAGATGTTTTTATTTTGAGCGCACCTGGATTCTTACAGCAGTGGAGCAGTCCTCTACAGATCCGAGCGGAAACGTGTTAAACTGTCCCAAGGACTTCCTGACGGCACTAATGTAGTAAATATTGTCTTGCCTTTGCTTTCGGTCTGCTCATGGGATTGTGTGCCTATTCCTTCCATAGTATTTCCCCCCCACCTTCTTTCCTTCCTTTTAACAAAAAGTGAACGATCTGTGATGTAATATGAAGCAGTGCTTCAGTTTTAGCCTCCCGCTCCCTGGACAATTTGTTAAAAAGTGTATATATGGAGTAATAAAGACGTTTTATAAATATATAATTATATATATTTCCATGTCCTGATATACTTGTGATGGGTTTCTTTGTCCTCATGTCCTTAATGCTTGATGAATGTAGATTAGAACACACTTTTTTTATTTAGATTTTTGTAAGCACACTCTCTGGGCTGGCCATTTGCTAAAAGGCTTGTGGAAAACCCCTTCCTGTTCTTGGTAATTCTTTTTTGCTTTTTGAGCCTATGTGCTGTTCATGGAAATGGGATCAGACTGGAATCCTGCAGAAGTCAGAATACGACGGAAACAGCCCAGAGGAGAGTGAGGAGATGTTTGTAAATTGACAGCGATCTTAAACTTGGAGAATGACTAACTACTACTTTTCTGTGACCTCTGCATTGTGTGGCGTCTTGTTGGAAAGAGGAATTCAGATAATGAAGTGTGATTGTAACATGCTGACTCGGCGTGGATCGTATATTGATGAGTAACTTGCCAACTGATCCCATAAGCGGCCCCACTATAGTTCGCTGTTGTTGAAATGGGATATGACTCACCCCAGTGATTGACAGCTTACTTTTGCTGTAGAGCTCCACCCTAATGAGCCTGCAGCCTTGTTTTCACTCACGGATTGATGTTAACCTTCTTCGTGAGTGTTCGTAGTCAACTGGGGATTCATTTCTGTACAAGTTGAGCCAGTTTTCTAATGAATATATTCATTGCCTGCACTGACTTTGGTGAGAGAGAGAGAGAGAGAGAGAGAGAGAGAGAGACTCTTTTAAACCTGATCCTGGCTAACCATTTTTGTGTAAATGTGGACTGTTTTAACTGTGGGACCTGGTGTGACCTTCATGGGGCCACAGCAGAACCGGTCACGGCAAACTCCGACTTTAGTACAGTACAAAACCTTGACCCGCCTGCCTTTCACAACCTCTCAACTTCACACCAAAGTATGTAGCAAACTGTGTCAGCACTGATCATGTACAGTTGTTAATAATTCAATAAACTTTTTTTGTTTTTTGTAAAACGTGTCATGAATGTTGGTTTAATTGAGAGCACCACTGTGGGATTTGAATCACAGGCTGGGTGTCACGTTAACCCAGGGGTGTCAAACTCAATTCCTGGAAGGCCGGAGCCCCGCAGAGTTTAGATTCAACCCTAATTAAACACACCTGATCCAACTAATCAAGTCCTTCAGGCTTATGTGAAAACTACATGGAGCAGGGGTAGAACAAAACTCTGCAGGGCTCCGGCCCTCCAGGAATGGAGTCTGACACCCCTGCGTTAACCCCATATGTCTTAAGTATGGAGACCAATGACAGGCTGGGAATGCTGGATAGGTTATCTAGATGTTCCCACATGATGTCAAGCTGCTGAAAGGCTGACTGAAGAGTTGAGACATGAAGTTGTGTAAGTGTGTGTGTAAGTGTGTGTAAGTGTGTAAAAGAGACCGTTTCTGCTGCCTCTGCTATCTGTTGTAACCACAGACCCAGCTGACTCAAATATGCCCTGCGGTCCCCCAACCACAGCTGGTGACACACACAACACACCCTTTTGATTTTCTCACCTCAAGTGGATTATCGGCCAGGAAGTGTGTTTGTGCCAATTGATTTATTTTGTTGGTTTGAGTTGGTTTCATTAAGAGTGTGATTTCCGTAAATGTCTGTCTCACCTGCATTCTGATGCTCTAGAAGTGAAATGACTGTAACTTAGAGAAATGAAACTTAACACTTCCTCTGCCAGTGAACTTTGCTGTTGAAGTTTGCCCACAATAGCCCTTTAGTAAACCTGTTATTTAAAACATTGCATGGCAACGTCATGTGTATACTCAAATCTATAGGAACCATTTCTATTTGGCACTGATGGGTGTTTTTTTCTTTTTTTTTTAATTGAAAACCTTACAGGATTAACTGATTTTTTTTAATTTATTTTTTTTACTTTTGGCCTTGAATCTTCCTTGCCCCGTAAAAGGAAAGAGGGCATGTTTTCAACTTCATGCTTATTTTGATTTTGAGAAAAGGACTGGAGACTAAAAAGCCCAGATGAAATCTGTGGACTTATTTAATGCATTATCTACACTGGTTATGTCAAACTGCACGTGCCTATTGCCAACTGGAAAAATATCCAAAATTAGGCAGAATATATATTAAATTAACTTTCAAGTGCAAAAGATCATTGTTCTATTTCTGTTGGAAGTGTGTAGTGCTTCCTATGGTCAGTTTCCATGTGGGGTTTATGTGGTTAGTGCATTAGAATGATATTAAAATTATAGGCATCGTCCTTTGGTATGAACAGGCCTTTATTGTCCTGCCATCAAAAAAGAAACTTGACGTCTACATGATGCCACTTCCGTCACCAGTGTCTAAGAAGTGCCGAGGACTCCTGTTGGTCTCTCACAGGAAGCTTGATTTCACATCGGCACGAGTATAGTCTGCACTGCTAATGTGGGCGCTCCTGTCTAAATACACCAGACTAGATGATGAACTTGGTCTTGCTGTTAGCAAAGGAGTGTCAGCAGCAGATTGATGATTGACTGATGAACCAGCCTTTGTACATTATGGCAGTAGATAGATCAAATGAGAGATACTGATTTTCACTAATCTCCGCAGATTTCGATCGTCTCCCTCAGATGATGACGAACTGACCCACTCTTTCTCCCTACTCAGTGAGTCAGGCGTCTGCATTATCCTCCCTGACCAGAAGCCCTTTTAGAATCTCAAACCCAAAGCTAATTCTGTTTAAACTCCACTGACGGGGTGCCTTTTAGCATTTGTGAAGCCAGTTATTTTCTTCTCTCCTTTGGTTGCTTTGCTTTCTCCTTCAGTCTCTCTGAAGCTTACCTTAGCTGGCAGCCCTTAGTTTGATGTTCTCCTCAGAAAGAGTGCTGAGAGGATGAAGGAGAGGGAGAGATACACTCCAAATCCCAACATACTGATTTTCCTGCAGGCTCCCGTTCTGCTCTCGCTATCGCTCACTCTCATCTCTTTCATTTCTTTTGCTCTGATGTGAAAAAGATGTACATAGACGAGGTGTGTTTTTATTTTCTCTTTTTCTTTTTGTTTCTTCCTAGTTTCACTCTTAATAAGGGAGCAGCTGAATAGGTGGAGATTAAAGGGCTATCCTTTTGAGTGGCACCGCTGAAGAGTGAGAGAGAAAGAAAGAAAGAGAAGAGGCTCTGTCGAGAGAGATAGAGAAGGGCTTCTCTATGAGAGCGACCAGCGATTTGATACAATCCTCCACTCTTTTCTCTCCTCTGAAGAGCTTTCATCAGGCCTGCACACAAGTGCCCTCTCCACTCAGGCCTCAAATTAGTCCGGGCTTACTGAGTCAGATGAAACGGTAACCTCACTCATCCTCCGCTGCCGTCTCTCTCCTCCTGTGTGACGAGCGTGCTCGGGAATCTTTCCTGCGGCTCTTGAGGAGACTCCTACTGAACTGGAGGAGAAGTCTGTGTGAGAAGATTAGTTTCATCCGTCTGATTAGACACTGAGAGGGCAGTGTGGTGTGTCTATGTGATGCTCATGAGTTTCTTGCAGCATCTGCAGGTGGAGGCTGAGGTAAATTTATTGCGTTATAAAGGCTCAAACATGATAGTCTCATCACTTCCCCTTTTGTGTTGAGTGTTACGTTTGTATAGTCTGAAACATTACAGCAGAAACAATCCACTCATAGTAAAATGTTGGGGTCAGTAAATGTTTTTGTAAATGCTTACTGAGTCTGCATTTATTTGATAAAGTAATATTGTGAACTATTACATCTTAAATTGTTTTCTATTTTAATATATTTTAAAATGTAATTTATACCTGTGATGGCAAAGCTGGATTTTCAGCAATTACTCCAGTCTTCAGTGTCACATGATCCTTCAGAAATAATTCTAATACACAGTGCTGCTTGGACGTTTGTGAACCCTTCAGAATTTTCTGTATTTCTGCATAAATATGACCCAAAAGATCAGCAGTTTTTCACACTGAAAAAAATCCTGAAAAAGTTGACAAAGAGAACCCAGTCAACAAATGAGACAAAAATATATAATTTGTCATTTATTTATTCTGGAAAATGATCCAATATTACATATCTGTGAGCAGCAAAAGTATGTGAATCTCTAGGATTAGCTGTTCATTTGAAGGTGAAATTAGAGTCCATCTGTTCAGAGCTGTTTTCAATCAGTGCTATGACTATTAGGTGTAAGTGTGTGCCCTGTTTTATTTAAATAACAGGGATCTATCAAAGTCTGATCATGTTTGTGGAAGTGATTCATGGCACGAACAAAGGAGATCTTTGAGGACCTCAGGAAAAGAGTTGTTGTTGCTCATCAGGCTGGAAAAGGTTACTAAACCGTCTCTGAAGAGCTGTTGTTGCTCATCAGGCTAGAAAAGGTTACTAAACCATCTCTGAAGAGTTTGAACAAATCCATAGATTGTGTACAAATGGAGGAAATTCAAGATCATTGTTACCCTCATGCGAGCATGCGATAGTCCACAAGGTCGCAACGGACCCTGGGGTAACTTTGAAATAACTGAAGGCCTTTCTCACATTGGCTAATGTTAATGTTCATTAATCCACCATCAGGAGAACACTGAACAACCATGGTGTGAATGGCAGAGCTGCAAGTAGAAAACCACTGCTCTCCAAAAAGAACATTGCTGCCTGTCAGCAGTTTGCTAAAGATCATGTGGACAAGTCAGAGGTATATTGGAGAAATGTTTTGTGGACATAAGGCCAAAATAAACGTTTTGGTTTAAATGAGACGCGTTATGTTTGGAGAAAGGAAAGAACTGCATTCCAGCATAAGGACCATATCCCATCTGCGAAACATGGTGGTGTTAGTATCATGGTTTGGGCCTGTTTTGCTGTATCTGGGCCAGGAC